CTTCAATTTGAATAGTAGAGAATTTTATTATTCGTTATAATTCCTCCAAAAAATTTTGGAAAAAAACCATAATTCCACAAGTTCGAGCTTCAGTGTTTATTTAAGATTACTTTCACTTGCATCCAGCAGTTTTAATATTGCATCTAATTATGTCAAAATATTTGACAAAGTTTCCCATCAAACTATAAAGTGTGGGACATTTTGGACTTGTTCGGTTACATGTTTGAGTTATGGTGACTTGAGTGTAAATCTTGAGTTGAATTTGTGTTATAATTTGAGTTAAAATTGTAACTTGAGTTTGTGTTTAGATGTGCACATTTGAGTTATGATTTGAATTGAGAATCTATTTGAGTTTGTATTTGAGTGAGTCAAAACTTGAATTTGTATTTAGATAGTATTTTAATAAAAACTCAACGGCGATAAAAAATTTTAATAGGGTACATGTGTAGGGTTTTATTCGTCTCTTCGTTGTGAACACATAGAAACAAAATCATCTCAATCGGAATTAAAATATAAGAGTTATGACGTTTTTAAGAATATAAAAAATATTGTTTATTAACTTGAGTTTAAGTTTAAGAACTTGAGTTGAAGGGGAAACTTGAACTCAGATTTTAGCCTCAAACTCAAATTAAAACTCAAGTTCAAACTCAAATTTTACAAATGAACACGAACTTTAAAAAAAATGTAATTTGAGTTCAAACTTTTTTTGAGTTTTACTCTAAAAGAATAAGCTCTTTGATACTTGGAATTTAATTTGCATCTTTAATATAAAGCAAATTTTGAGTACTTGAGGATCTGAAACTTAATGCTAGCTCTGCGGTTACAATTGAATACATCATTAAGAATTGTCAAATTTAAAGTCTTGAATGCCAAAATTTGAAAGTATAAGATCCAACTTGTAAATGACAAGAAACTCACAACTAATGAATGTAATTCACCTTAAAAGTTGTAGTATGTGATAGCTATAAACGTTACTACTTGCAAAGTTATAAATTGGATACATAATATATTTATAAAAATAATAATTAGGAGCACCACTGTTGTCAAGCATTATAGAAAGTAAATTTTAAGTATGGATCTTATACTATAAGACCCATATTTTAAAAGTAATTATTGAGTGATCTTCAATTTATAATATTGTTTATATTTACATGTCACAAAATCCTTGTAATTGGAGGGTCATTAGGAAATAAAAATAATCCTTTTTATTTTATTTACTTAATTACTTTTTTTGGTTAAAAAAACAGCAAATTTCAAAAAGAGAACCGGTGACGGGTTGAGCGGGGCATGACGTGTCAGTGCAGAGGAATCTGTTCGCGGCATACCAACGGCGCTGCTTTCAACATTCCGGAATATTTAAACACTGGGCCCCACTTATTCTTCTCATCAGATTCTCTCCTTTTGACAATTCTCTCTCTCTCTCTCTCTCTCTCTCTACTTTTTTTAGTTTCCAAATTCTCGAGTCTTCTCCACTAATCACACACGACTTGAACTCGCCCCGGCCGTTTCTTGCTTTGGTTTTGTCCATATGGCGTTTTTGTCGGCAGCCAAAAGAAAAATGGAAAGAAAGGTGTGCCTGGCTTCAGAGTCTTGTCCCTTCACTCGCATATTGCTTCCTCTAAAACATGCAGTACACGGTTATGTCCGTGCGAGCTCAACAACTTATCACAGTTGCAAATGCCATATGACCAACCAACATCAAAAAGGCTTCTTAATTAATTAGCATTGCATATTTGAAAATTAATTTGGTTAAACATATAATATGCATGTAACACAATTACGTAGTAGAAAGACAAATCTTCAACAAGCATACATAATGATTCATGTAGCATATACACACATATATATATATATATATGCATGTATATCATTGTATATGCTACATAAAATATGTGTACAACTTGGGCATGATCTTGACATTTCATGATTATCAATTTCATGGATATGAGAAAGGCGCACTCTTTGAGAGCATCCATCATGAGAGGTAGCAGTACAATTATTGCCTCGTGCCCTGCCATTGAATTGAAATCACAAAAAGCCATATATATATATAT